GTCTCGGGCCCACCCAGAGACTCCAAAACCCTTAATTGAGGAATATACCTTAAATTATAACAGGAACCCTAGTAAGATTTAAGGTATATTCCTTAATTAAGGGGTATTGGAGTCTCTGGGTACCTATAGGCTCATACCCTACCCCCTTTTTCAGGGTACCCAGTTCCTTTGCTACGGTGAGTGAGCAATCTGGTGGGGTATGAGCCTCTAAGTAGGGTTTGGGTTGGGGTTTAGGGCTTGCAGGGCTTATAGGGTTTTGTAGGGCTTGGGGCTTGGAGCAGAAGGTAAGGTTTATATGGGTGGTTGTCAAGATGATGTTTTGGGGTCCTTATTATGATACGGCCCCTATTATTTAGGGTACCCCAAAAGGGACCCTAATTTTGACAACTACCCATATAGGGTTTGGGGGGCTTGCCTTCACTTTCAAAGGTTCCCATTGTTTCTTTACAGGTTGTTTTCTTGGCTTGAACACAGTTGTATGGCCGTCTTAAGAAGCAACGTAAGGCAACCAAAAGAGAGGAGCCATCATTGAAGGATATTGACGGTCCAAGTGGAAGTCTCAAGTTGTGCTTTACACTCGCCTCAACCCTGAAAAAGACGCGTTCTGCCCTCAATTGCTGCCCAACTCCTCCACGGGAGAAAAAAGTATGGGTATAGAGCTCTCAAATGGAGCCCGTGCATAGTCTTGAAGGAACCCTTCAAGACCCAGAGCCCTAAACCCTAAACCCCAAACCCTAAACCCCAAAACCCTAAACCCTAAACCCCAAACCCTAAACCCCAAAACCCTAAGCCCTAAACAAGGGCACGGCCTTTTAAGTTTGAAGGCTGAGCAGCGCTGCCGCCTCTTGCGTTTCGTCACAGGCTCCAGCCGTCCCCCTCCAGGTGCTACCTAGGGGCCTTTTCGGGCTGTAATAGATAGAACATGTTAGGAAAGCCGTGCCTTGAAGGGTTCCTATAGGGTTCTTGAAGCGATACAACGGGTATGTAGTATAAGGGCCTTATATACAGCGCTAAGCAGTGCTTTTTTGAGTTACGTAGACGTAGACCCTGTTATTTCTTGCATTTTCGGGATTTACTGCTGGGTTTCAGTGTGGTTCTGGTGTGCAGCTTGTTCACGAGGTATGCTTGCCGTCAGAGTCTAGTTATTAGCTTTAGGGCTTTTGGCTCCGGGCATGGATCCAGGTTGAAGTTTGCATGTGTGTTTTCACTTCAGGGTTTCTTTTGTCGGGTTCTGCCAACAGCCCCTAAACCCTATAATCTCTGTTTCCGTTCCTTGAACCCTACCTGTGGCCTAAAAGACCTACCTTTTTAAGGAAATATATCTAGAAACCATAATAAGGAAACCCAAAAAGGGAGGTTTTTCCGGCTACAGGTAGGCCTAGGCCTTTTTGTCTGAAAAAATGAAGAAGAGGCTATGGGCTTCGGGACAGCGCTCTCAGGCTCCATGGGCCCGAGGGGTTGAGGGTTTGGGGTTTAGGNNTTTAGGGCTTGGGGTTTAGGGTTTATCGAAAAGTTAGGGCCAGTTAGGTCTTTTAGGGTTTGGGGTTTAGGGTCAGTTAGGCGTTGCAGTGGCAAATGAATGTACTTGGACCTTGAGGGTTTAGGATTTGCATGGACTTTCACGCTGTAGGCCCAAAGCTGTCGATTAAGTGTTTGGGGGCATCCGGGTTCAGTGCGTCAGGATTTCGGATGTGGGACAACTTCAGGTGCTTAGTTTGCATCATAACCCACAGGGTCCAAAGTACCTATATAGTAGAATGTAGGGTTTCTATAAAAGGAAATCTTATAATGATTTGGGAAAGTATTCCCCATAACAGTACCTAGTACCCTTTGCGTAATGCTGTATGACGCAGTGTACGTCCCTACAGGATACCCTGGACCAAGCTCCCTACATGTTCGATGGGACGGTTTTCCCAGGATGTTTTGATATGTTTCGCTCACCCTACGCCCGACACCACCCTAAACCCTCAGAAGCCCTAAACCCCAAACCCCTAAACCTTCTTTACCCGAAGCGCTCAACCCGAAACCCTAAACCCTAAACCCTAAACCCCTAAACCCTCTTTACCCGAAGCGCTCAACCCGAAACCAGGTGGCTTCGCCGACCTAAAGCCACCCTTTGCAGTCGAAGTGCCTCCTGGCCTCATGAGGATCAGATTGGGGTCTATATAACCTGAGGTTTTGTACAACTTTATAGGCTATATAGGGTTTAAGTAGGTTTCCTCTTGCGATCTCTTACCCTAAGGGTCCATGTACTCATATAGTATATACATTGGCCCCAAAGTACCTATACAGAGACTACTTTAAGGCCAAAGTATATACTTTTTAGGTACATGGACCCTTAGGGTAACTTGAGGTTTTGTACAACTTTATAGGTTTAAGTGGGCTTTCCAGGGAAAGCTTTTGTGCTGAGATTCCAATGGCTACATGAATGATTAGCAATACAATTCCTTCGGGCTCCTCTGTTGTAGCCATAGGATAGTACACCTCAATACCTGGTTGTAGTCGGTAGATCCTATGCAACTACCGAGACGAAAGATTGCTTACCCAGACATCCCGGCATCATTTGTGCATTACCCTGAGGGTCCATGTACTCATATAGTATATACATTGGCACAAAGTATATAACTGCAGAAGCCAGTTAGTTCTCCTACGGGGAAGATGATGTGGTTCACCGTCTTTGCAGGAGCTTGAGTTTGTTGTTCGGTTTATGTCGTAGGCCGATGTTTGTCAACCTCCACAATTATTTGACCATACTGCAAGAAGGATACTCAAATCAAGAAGCATCTAGAGCGGCCAGTTGGTTCAACAATCTGAGAGGCAGCCAGAACGCCGAGTGGTGAAGATTAGAATAAGGCCAGGCTGAATACCATAGGCGTCGTCACAACGGCTTTCCTGACCTGGTTTAACCAAAAGCATGCATGCAAAACAAGTGATGCAAATGCCCCAACAGCTTGAAGCCCCAACCAAACGACTGTAAACCCACTGACCCAGCAAGTTCACAGTTTACCAATGCAAGTCCACCCAACTGTAGAAAGACTAACATAGGGGCCGTAATAGTTACCTGTACTATTTTGAGGGTTCCTTGTTATATTTATAGTATAATAGGCCTCAAAACCCTATTCTAATTGCTAAGGCCCCCATATATTAGGCACGCCCATCGTCTATAGGGTTAAGAAATTGTCGGACGTGTGTTTGTTCGGGGGACGCGTTTGGTATTGTCTTAGTCATTTATACAGCCTACCAGAAGGGCTTGTGCCGTCCAGCACATTGCAACTCATGCTCTCTTTTGGTTTCAGTAGCAAGACCCCCTAAACCCTAAACCCTAAACCCTAACTGCTCTGTTTTTGGTTTCAGTAGCAAGACCAGGAACAGCCTTGTCTGAGCCTTAAAGCCTGAATCCGAAGCTTTTCCTGGACCCTGAAACTTGATCTAGGACCCAGAGGGCCCAATACCCCTTAATTAATAAGGAAATATACCTTAAAATCATAATATATTAAGGTCCCTATGACCTTAATTACAGGAATATACCTTTAGTAATCATATTAAGGCCCCTATGATTTGAGGTAGATTCCTTATTAAAGGGGTATTGGGTACTCTGGGAATCTAGAGCTGGCAGATTGAACTCCGGCGACCCCAAGCTCTTCTTCAACTCTAAGCCTCCACTCCGGCCCCTATACTATTATAGGGCCTCAATAACTAATTTAACGTGTTCCTTAGAGGGCTCTATAAGGGCTACTATAAGGGGTTTAGGGTGTAGGGGCCTCAGTAAGTAGAATAGGGCTTTTTGGGCCCCATCATACTCTAATTAGAATAGGGAACCCCCCAACATAATATTGTTATTTGTTTAGGCCCCTACATTATACCCCTGTAACCTCAGCCCCTGAGCCCAGCTTTGCAAGGATCGACCGTCCGCAGGTAATAAAGTTAGTTAATTAAGCCTTGCCCAGTTTGGGTAATTACATCACCGTCAACCAACAATATAAAACTATCCCCCAGTCTACCTTACCATATAGAATTCATCCTATTCTAAGGTGATGTAACTCCCGAAATGGGCAAGGTTATCCTTACTCAATTAATGGTTCATTTTATGGTAGTGGGGTAGGCTAGATGATTTGTTCGCCTTCCTTTTTGGAGCGAAGAACGCGACCACAAGCACTATGTTTCCCATTCATCGAGCTCAAGGTCTCTCCGGCATGTTTATCATGGTCGACACGAGCAAAGATCCGTGTTGCGTGCTGGCTGTGTTCTTGTCATCCTCGACCTTGAGTGCACGTGTATGTGTAGTGCATGTCGTGATGCCTTCGCCAAGCACACGCACTTTTGCGCTGCTCTGACCAACTCCGTGGCCACATGCCTTATTACCTGTCAAGAAAGCAGCCAGACTTGCTTCCACTTGTGTCTACAAAGTGCGATGGACTATCGTCGAGTGGAGCCAACCTTCAAGCGTTATGCTTGTCTAATGCAGGTGACCTTCCTTGGAGCTCTTGCCTTGTATGCGACCCTTCGCATGTCGGAGATCGTCACAATGTCCAATCTCCCACCGGTAGTCCTCACCATGATTCCTTGGGAGAACCCCGGCGTCTTCTTGGTTTGCAGCCCTCGAGTTGGCACTGGCATCACCGGCATTGGCATGGGACTTTCCTATGGCCATCACCAGCTCAGTTCTGCAGACCTGAGCCCATTCCCACACGACTTTGTGGTATCAGGCCTGCATACAGTGGACATTGGGGGACACGCAAGGCAATGTCGCGAGGTCGACCTGAGAGGCTGGAAGATGCCAACCCCGCCAGTCACATTTTCACTCTGCTTTGATTCTGACGGTGCTACTCGCGACCTTCCTTTCTTTTTCGAATTGTGTGCCG